AATTTTTCGACAATGTATAACTCGGATTGCTATTAATAGTTAGTATTCATGACTATATAGTTAGCTAACACTATTATAAATCATTATCCACAATTTCTATTACTTGTCCTCATCATGACCCAATCATCACATGTTTTTATTATTTTTATTGTACAAAATTAGATTAATTTAATATTTATATTAACAAATTTTTAATAATTAAACTTTAAATAAAGAAAAGCTTAACAATCTTAATTAGTTAAATTTCATACTTATTATTATTATTATCATCATTATACTTAGGTTTAGATATTCAATTATTTTTGAGACAATTTATATTGGGGAAAAATGTGAAACTTAAAAATAACATAAAAGAGAACAAAAGAGAGAATTAATCACGAAAAAAAGATTCAAGAAAATGACACCTACAAAATTCCTATTTCTTTTAATTTTGTTTGGGTTAAACACAAAATATTAAAAAGTATATTTCACATTTTAAATAAATATTACATTTAATATAATAAATTCCTAAGAATAAAAGGCACAGTAATTAAGAGGATTAATAATATGACTTTCAACTTTTATAACATAATAAGAGTAATATTTGTACATTATTACACTATAAAGAACATAAATTATAGAAAATGAAAAGACAAACAAATTAGAGTTATTGAGACAAATATTTTCCTATAAGTAAATAGAAAGGTAGGAAATCAACTAAATTTTTAAAATTATAAATTAATCATAATTTTGAAATAACTTTAGAACTCCCGAACAATAACAAATATGAAAATATAAAGGCTTATTCATAAACAACTTGAAATCTTCTAAGAGAAACAACAAAAATGAAAAATTTAAGAATTGCAATTTTACATATTAATAATAATTTATTTTTAATAAAATCATGTGTATTTTCAAAATTATAAATTAACTTTACATTCTTATGTTCTATCATTTTTGTTAATAAAAATTCTTTCACCGGACTATGAAAGTGTATGTACGTATTTCTTTAAGTAGCATATCGATATTCGTTTACTCATTTTCTACTTCTATTCTATGTTTTAAAATATTATAAGCCACAAACACAATAAACTAATATTATTAATAAAAAAGTGAGAAATGAATTTACCTAAATAAATAATTATTCTTGAAGAGTGTTATCATATAATATAGTTAAATTATCTAAGAATCATATAGAGGTCTAAATTAGATATTTTTCTTAAAAAAACTCAATATTTCTATTTTCATGAACATAAACAAATAATATTAAATGTGTGATTCAACAAAGAAATAGTTGTAATTATATTAGACATATCAAATTATTTTTCATTGTAAACTCAAATTATGCAAGAATGTCTAACCATTTTCATTATAGATATATCTCCTATAATCGGTAAATCTGATTAAATAAGTTAAAAAGTTATCTACCAAAAGAAGAAAAAGATAAAGAGTAAGGAGAAAATTACATTTAAACACATGTAATCATTTTTGACAAAAACATAAATAATTCACAAGGAAATAATATAATAGAAACATTACTTCGTAAGGACCTAAAAAAATAAAGAATAATCCATTAATCTCCATCTCTGGATATTTTCATTTCATCATATATACAAGAGTCAAAGAAAAATAATAACAAATAAGTTATTAGTCTTAAAATGAATCTCAAAGTTAACAAAATAAAATATTATATCTCATAAAGAATAAGGGAAAATTACATTTAATCGTAAATTCTCCTACATAATAATTTTTGACAAATAACCAATATATATAACTCAAAATCCATTAATCTTTATCGCTTGATGTTATCATTTCATCCTATGTACAAGAGTCAAGAAAAATAATAACAAATACATATTAGTCATAAAAAAAATTCAAAAATAACAAAACAAAATAATTTATCTAGAAGAAATAAAAATATGATGACATATTAGCCTTACTTGCTAATTAAAAATAATATATGAAATAATATTTGAAAAAATAAAGCACCTCAAACCTTACAAATATTGTAACACTTCTTCCACTAATTCTCTACCCAAAGATGACTACAAAATAACACACAATTTTAGTGTGATTTTATAGTGTTAATGTAACCTTTCACAATAAATAATTAGAAGTTATGAATAAGAAAGATTTAAGAGGTTACGAATATGAAAGGTTTGAGGGTTATGAATATTATTAATACTAATTTAAGAATAGAATTTATATAATTAAAGAGGTATAAGTTTATAAGAAAAAATTAATTGAAAAAAATAAGAAAAAATATCAAATAAAAGAAGAAAAATAAGAAAAAATGAATGGAGGTCATAAAGAGGTGTCACATCACCTCCTCTATGATCCTCATTTATTTATATATATATATATATATATATATATATATTTTACAAGATGCGCCTTTTCAGGATGTTCATAAGATATTTACACTGAAAACTACCATATTAAAGTAATATATTCATACCACTATATATACTAATTCTACTTATATTTATGCATTTTACCAACTAATTAAGAATTTCATATCATATATTGAAGAAGATACACTTATATGGATATATTTTTGTTATCAAATACACTAAAGTATAGAGAAAGACAAGTGAGATAGTCATATATCTCTAATATATATATATATATTGTAAAATTACTCGCACTTTGCGCGCAAAATTAAATATCACAGAATTTATAAAATATTATTTAAAGCATATTCAACATTATCACTTAAACACTATATTATTTTACATGCACGATTACGTAGTAACAAACATTAGTAGTGTAAAAGAAACTGGAAATTATTACTTATCTTTATCCTTAATAACATAAGCATAAATTAATAATGTAAAGGAAAATGAAAATTATTACATCTTATTATTTGTCCTTAAATAACATTAGTATAAATTAGTGATTGTTAAAAGACATACCATACCAGGATATGTAACATAAGCAATGGTGTTAGTGCGTCATTCAACAGGAACAAAATACACAATTGTAAATAAGGAGGAGGAGGAGGAGGAGAAGAAAGACGAAGAGGTTTAAATTTTCATAGTTTCAGAATGAGAAGGAATTCCCATATTTATAGAAAACAAAGGATAGTGTAAAAAAATGTTTATTGTGTTTTATCAGAAAGGTTGCAACTATTTGGAGAAGTTGCGACTCGTTGGAAAGGTCACAATCTTTCATAAAAGTTGTAAATCTTCATAAAAGTCACAACTCTTCATAAAAGTCGCAACTTTTCATAATAATCGTTACTCTTCATTGAAGTCGCAACTTTTCATAAAAGTCACAACTTTTCATCAAAGTCGCAACTCTTCATTAAAGTCATAATTTTTTTTATAAAAGTCACAACTTATCACGAAAGGGGAAGGTTAATTTTGATAATAAAATAAATTAAAAGGGAATTCTAATTTGTGGTGGTGCCACATAGGCGGGCTTAAGGTTTTATTATATATATATATATATATATATATACACACACACACTAATAAATATGCAACTTATTATTAGTACAAACTAATGTTCAAAAGTTGAAATTTTGACTACTCTTTTTTTTATTTAAACGTATTGATTAACAAAATGAGATGTTTGTATTTTTTTTCAATATATATTGTTGCATGTGTAATGTGTTACTATGATACAATTAATTTTTTTTTTGAATTCTTGAAGTCATAAAACTGTATTATACAAATTTATATTAGTTGAAGTTGAACAAACTATAATTACCAATTTATTATACGGTAAAGAATCACAAACGAACTTCAAAATATCGAACTATACTAAATTAAATGGGTATGATAGTGTTATAATAGTTTTGAAATCAAATGCAGTACATATTATACAAAACTTATCCTTATTTGTATGTATTTAAAGTAATTCACATGTTTCTGATCTATCAAATACATAGGAGAGTGGCAAACAAAATGAGAAGGAGACCAGCAAAATTTGTTATGTATATTACAAGTTAACTTAAATAATATTTATCTAAAATAAATTACGTCTAATTTTGATCTATATATCTTACGTAATGAGATTTCTTCCAATTTTCTTGAAACAAAAAAAAAATTCCATTTAGAGTATGAAAAGACACCAAACACTTGGGCCACTAAAATGTGCACAAATCAAGATTGGGCCATTGGGGCAACTTTTGCTAGAATTTCAATTCATAAGTTGGCAGCATTGAAAAACGACAAAGATGCGTGTTCTCTCTTCCTCTACTACACGTATATTTTGCACTGTCAACTCCACTCAACACCCTCATAAACAAAAATCACATTCAAGAATCCCATAACAGAGTGCGGCAGAATAGCAGAATAGTTGATATTGCAGATACCCTTTTGCTTATTTTCTTCATTTTGGTCAGTCTGCTAACCCCTTTTAATATCTAATTTTAAGGATACATTGATATTATGTTTTATTAATCAACAGATGCACAAACATACGCAAGATTGGATTTTTCTTGAAAAAGATTGGTTCTTTTTAGTGCTTGCTGCTTATTTTTGAGTATTTCTCAATGGATGACTTGTTTTCTTGTGATGGTTCTAGCTAAGATTTTATTCTTTGATTTTAGTATTACCTGATGTGTTTGCTTATTATTTTGTTTTTTGGCTATGTTTCTCTTCTTTGTTGTTTTCAGCATGGTATCTGCGCGCTATTGTATTTGCTTTACGTACTTGTTTTTATATGTTTTACGTGAGCTGAGGGTCTATTGTTGGAAGAACCTCTCTACCTTCGCAAGGTAGGAGTGAGGTTTGAGATTTACAATTTGACATAATTGGAATTGTTGGGAAATAATGAAAAATATTTCACAATAATAATAATATAATATTATTTAGCAAAATAGTGGTGTTGGGCATTGTCCTAAGAAACTATTTCAGCGGAAATATTTCTCTAAATAAAGCAAGCCTTCCCTATTTAGATAGAGGAGACACGAATCAATAAACTAATTAACATCAACAAGTTATTATTGGGGGAAATAAATTGACACATTAATTAAAATAACTAAAACTAAGATGGGAAAGGGGAACGAGTGATTGAAAACAAAAGAAAGGATATTGATATATTGTTATGTATTGCTGATTATTTTGAGGGACTATCTATAGTGGAAAGGAACATATTTGCACATGACAAGTGTTAAGACACTTGTCTTCCAACAATAACAACAAATGCCACTAATAGTTAGTAAGTACAAAACAAGTGGATCATTTGAAAAGTGACAGGTGTTACAATCATTCAAATCACACTACAATTCCTCACTATTTCAAAGATTTAATATAAAAAAAAATATAACTTCCTGGATTTTCCGGGCAAAATGCAATGGGTTTGGTGCCTTTCGGAGTCGTTTGTAGCTTTGGAGATGGTTGGTTCTGAGTCTGAATGACTAAGAAATTTCTTAGCAAATATCCTTTTAATAAAGGATGAATTGCCTCCAGTGTTTATACACCGTGATTGTCAAGCCACAATTGCTACTGCGAAGAATAAATCTTATATTGTAAGAGCCGACACATGAAATTGAGGCATGATGTAGTTAAGCACCTGCTGAGAGATGGAATAATTACAATTGATTATATGAAGTTAGAATTGAATTTGTCCAATTCACTGACTAAACCTGTGGAAAGAAAATTAATTTTTCAGATCTATTGAGATGGGTTTTAAGGCCAACTGATTGTCAATAGAGATGGTAACCCAACCTAATTGATCGAGATCCCATGAAGTAGGTTCATATGGGTAATAACAAGTCAGTATTGACACTGCACACTAACTGAGAGTGCTTGAACTGCTATTAAAAATGAGGAATGAGTTATTAACTCTTAATGAATTCATAGTCCTTAATTAAAAATGGTGTATTTAAAGCAGTTTAGATTTGATGAATTCACCTATATGAGAAGTGGAGTGGCCACTCCTATGAGACTTTGGCCTAGTCTTTAGAGCTCTTATGAATACATTCAAACACGCCATGGCCTATTGCATTTTGTATATCTTTTCTCATTAAATCTTTGAAATAGTGGGGAATTGTAGTGTTATTTGAAAGGTTTTAACACTTGTCACTTTTCAAATCTATTGCATAGGAGCGGGGTTTTTACCCTGTGAGCACGCAAAGGGTAGCAGCCGCAGGTTTCCTTGTCATTAAAAAAAATGATCTACTTGTCTTGTGCTTACTAACTATTAGTGGCATTTGTTGTTGTTGTTGGAAGACAAGTGTCTTAACACTTGTCATGTGCAAATATGTTCCTTCCACTATAAATAGTCCCTCAAACCATCTGCAATACATAACAATATATCAGTATTTTTCCTTTGTTTACAATCACTCATTCCCCTCTTCCATCTTAGTTTTACTTATTTTGGTTGATGGTTAATTTGTAAATTAATTTGTTGATTCCTGTATCCTCTATTTAAATATGGAAGACTTGGTTAATCCCGGGAAATATTTCACACCGCTGAAATAGTTTCTTAGGACAATGCCTAACACTACTTAAGTACTAATTTTCTGCACTATTATTAACATATCATCGTAGTAATTTTCATCTTATCTCCAGGACTACTATTCTGCTAAATAATATTATATTATTATTATTGTGAAATATTTTTCATTATTCCCCAACAATCTAAGATAACCAATTAGGTTCATGATGAAACCTAGAGAATGATTGCTGATTATCACTGATCCATGGCTGTGTACATTCCACTCTCCCCAAATCCCACTTGTGGGATTACACTGGGTATGTTGTTGTTGGTTCTAGCTATGTTTTCACCTTCTCTTTCTAGATGAAGGTTTAAGACTAATTCTTGCAAAAAGTGCTTATTATTGGTGGAGGAGGGATGAAGAGGAAGTTGGTGTTTTGAAATGACTGAACTTATTTTGAAAGATAAATAATAAAAGTGCAGTCTTTGTCTTGAATATGTAATATATATGTGCGTTGGTCTTTCTAGATGGATGTATGTTTACCAATGTAAAGAGGGTTAATAACAAACTCAAGATTGAAGTCCATGATCTGCAGCTGTGTGGTTGAGGCATAGGAGTAACTACTTGAGGAGTCTTTGTTTGATTCCTAGCTAGTAGCGGAGGCTGGATTTTCGTAAGGGATTCAAGTTCAACATATATGATGCATACATAATGTTCTGTTGGACCTTAATGAATTAGGAACCCATTTCGTCCCTCTAGCTCCGCCCCTGGTCCTAGCCACAACACTCAGTATGATCCCATCTGCTCTAGACTTGGTGCTCAAGTCAAATTGGCTGCCAGTAAATAAGTCAAGGTGCACACGAGTTAGTGCTAACTCCACTAATCATTCCCCTAAAAAAGTAAAAAAGGAAAAGAAGACAAAATGAGAATTAGAAGGATATATTGACCCAAAATGTTTTAAAGGGTACTATAGAGTATAAAAACTTCTCCAGTTGGTACAAGCAAGTTTTTGTTGAAAGGATTGGAGTGAATTGATAGTTCTTTGCCTTCAGAGGCGGAGTCGAGATTCGAAATTTATATGTTTGAGACTAGAGACTTAAGTTATAGGGTTTTAAATTAATAGTATAAACATATTCAACGGAATTTTAATACAAATATCCATAACCAAAATGCTAGCTTGCTTCTGCTCTCCTTTTTGTGTCTGTTAGTGACTGATGATATAAGAATAGAAAGTAAAGGTAGCAAGACTGGTAACTAGTTCAAGAAATGACTGGAAATTCTTTTGGTAGATTGCGTATTAGGTATTCGATGTGTCTTGGTTGAGTGGGGAAAATAAGCACGAGTAATGGTATGCAGTAACAACAATCATTTGGTTTCAAAACTGAGTCTTGATCTGACAAATATTGATAAGTGTATTTCTCTTCTCTTCCTCATTTGCTTGCTGTTTAGTTTATACTCTCATTTTGTAGTATGTTCGTGGTTTCTTGTCCTTGGATAAGAATAGATGCTGCTGCTGTTACAGGGTTTTTGAAAGTTCTTGTCGAGGGGCTTTGAGCTGGTGAAGGTACTTGTGAGTGGAAATCTTAAGTGGTGAAGGTACTTGCTAGCGGAAATCTTAACTTCTGTTTTAATTTACGCAGCATGGACCACGATACTGTTGGAGCTTCACAAGGTATTTCAGCTTGTTATTAGGTCTCCATTTCTGCCCATCACGTAAACCTGATCTTGTAACAATATTTCTGTTTGTTCTGAAAACAATTAATTATGTGTAGGTTTGTTGCTTTTTAAATTTCCCACAGGTTATAGAATTGTATGTCTTTTGGTGTCTGAAAGAGTTTAATTAGGGGTTTACATAAAAGTATATCATTGGAAGAAGCTAACCAAATAGTTAAAAGGATGCAATATTGATCAGAAAATAGTTTAAGGATGTTGGTTATCAAAAATAATAAGGTGGAAACAATGTGGTGGATTATCGGAGCCCAAAAAATTGGATAGGCAATATGAAAAATCAAACTTGAACATTCCTCAAGGCTAAGTAGATAGATATTACCGTTGATGGGCTGTGTGGAATTTAAGGTGCAGGACTTGCTTAAACTTAAGTATACCAGTTTTCTAGAGCAGGGGGTATCCTCAAAACACAGAAGGACATTTCAATATCTTGCAAAAACTCCTCACTTTCTGAGAATGAAAAGCATCACCATAAAATTAAGGGCGGAAGGCTGTTGCAAAACACACTGGCGTCGCTGCATCAGAATGATCATCAATAAGATTAGGTGACGTCCTCTGCTTAGCAGGAGATGATGTATCTACTGTTAGGAAAACGCGGACAAGCACAAAAGTATATATGGTAAAAGTAATGGAAATAAAATGAGAAAATAACGACACCAAGAATTTTACGTGGAAACCCTTCTGAATAAGGGAAAAAACCACGGGCCAAGAGGAGCAACTGATATTACTATAGTAAGGAATTTTACACTGTGTAGTCACGAATACAACACTCAAAGTGACTACTACACACTCTAAAGGAACAACACTCTTTTGGTTTCCGTCTTACTAAAATATCGCTCACACTCTATTTTTCTTCACAGACTATTTTCTTCTATAGTCTATGGAATACCTCACTTTGCTCTCAAAATGGGTTTTCTCTCTAACTTGGTGTACACTACAAATGAGCAAGAATGCTCTATTTATAGAAGGATAAAACCATACCTATGTCACTAATGACATATGTAAACATAGCAAAGTCAAAAATGATTGCAAATCTTACCAATTTGCCAACTACCAAATCTTTTCTTTTCAACTCCAATTACTATTCCTTTTTAACAATTGCTTGTACCAATTGAATAGCTAAAGTTGACTAAAACAATGGGATGGATTCAACATCTACTTGGTTAGGAAACTGACAAAATGTTCTCTTTGGCAAGAGTAAATAATGCCCTGCAGAAGTTAATAACTCCTTCCCAAGAGTTGATCAAGGCACATTACTGTAAGGGAGAAGAGGGTTTCTGTTCGATCTGTTGTGGGAATTCTTCTCCCTACATCAGTATTTGTCTATATGACCCTTGAGTTACTCGAAAATTCATTACTCAGTTGGTCATCAAAAATTCATTACTCTTATGTTCTTGAATGTATTATCCCAACAAGATGTCTTTGTCATTTGATCCATCAAAAAAGAAGAAGATATTTTTGTCATTTGATCCATCAAAAAAGGAAGATGTCTTAGTCATTTGATTTTCTGGTGGTTACTATTAATATATGCTGAATTTTGACCAACTAGTGATATCTTGATCAAAAAATTAATCTGAGAAGTTCCACAGTTCGTAGTTGGATAAGATGTTTTCTGAAGGAAAAAGTGAGGGATCTTAAGGCTATACCAGCTGCCTTGAAGATATAAGGATTTAGTGCATCCTAAATTTAGTATTTTACCATCTTTCTTTTTGCGAAGGAAGGAACAAATAAAAAGGGGATCATTCTCTTTTTGTCGAAGAAAGAGCTCTAACTCACTGTCTCCTAGGGTAGATATCACAACTAAAATGTTTTATCTTTTCATGAATCTTCTCGTCGATAGATGTATTTGAGGTGTTCTCAAACTTAGCAGTTGTCCAATTAGATGATAATAAGTTGTGTCTGATCTTAATCAATTCCAAATGCTGCAAAAAATAAATGATGTCCTTCCCTTGACATGACACATCTTTAGCTGCAGCTAAGAGTGAGGGCATTGAGTCCTATAGAAAAATGCAGCAGGCTTCTGTGAAAGAGACATCTGAAGTGAATGAAGGTCAAGGTGGTAAAAATGTCGCAGCTTATGTGGCCCCAGCACATGAGAAATCTCATGGTGATGTAAACATGGAGGCGGATATCACTATGGATGATGTAATAAGAGCCGGAGGTCTAGGAGCAAGAGACGATTTAAATAGTGTTCTTCCTGTGGCAGCTGATACCACTGACTTTGAAGCTTCTATTCGTGATGCGTGGGACTATGAAGGGCAACGTGAAAGCATTACTCGACCAGGCCTTGGCTGGACAGAACCTGCAAAGAAATAGATCTAACCATGGTACAACTTAAGGTGGACTTTCAAGGTGTTGTCCAGTTTTACTGGCACTCTTAAACTCTCAGTTCTGCTTCTGTTGATTGAATGTTCCCTTATGTGTCTTATGGTTCTTTATGAAATAAATCATATCCCCATGTATGAAATTAATTATAGCTCGGTGGATCTTTTTAGCAACATGCTTATTTGTCAATCTATTGTTTCTCCTTTGTGCACATCCCGGTTTGATGTATCTTGTTGTGTTGGAGATTCAAATTCCATATTAAAATCCATTATGCAAAATTAAAATGTCAACCGTGAGTAAAATCTTACTGAATCTTTAATCAAATCCCCTAAGCACAAGCATCAAGTTGTTGCCAGTTTTCAGGTATTCAATGTACAAAGATAGTTCTTTCTGAAAAAGAATACTAAAATGCATCAACTTTGTTACATGTGTACGTTGTGGAGCATTATAACCATAGATCTATGTAAAGAACTCTATATAGCTATTTATTTTATTGGAAGAAGTTAATATTGTTTAAGGAGTGATGCTCTTTCAAAAATTCTGTGTCCAGGAGCTAAGATAGACAAAGGGTCATAAGTGGATTTCCTCCTAGCAAATGTTTCCCATCGAGGGCCAAAGTGAACTTTCCAGTCTTCCTGTGTTGTGTAGTGTGGCAAATACTGTTTCATTCCAATGTGTGCTTTATTGCAAAAGTTCAGTATCTTCTTGTTCTTATTTAGAATATGTTCTAGTCCATCCTTTCCTGTTGAAGATGGCATGGCAGAAGATAGAAATGCTATTAAATACATGACATCTTCTTCAGGTGTAACCATTGATGTTCCTTTTATCCACCTGCAACACAAAGTGATCATACATCATGTTAGGAAGACGCATACATCCTGTAAGAAGATTATTCGAGTGATAATGATTTCCGTACTTTGATTTGTTGACTGGGTAAATGAGTATAGGCCCATGGCTAGTGTCAGTAAGAATCTTCCCAAAAACTTCTTGTGCAAAGTCATGAATCCTGCTCTTTGGAATTAAAAGGTTTAGCCATGGATGAGGGACATCCCATAACCCCTTCTCTTGGAGTTTCATCTCAGACACGTGGACTCTGTCAAGGAACTCCACGTAGGAGACTTCTGATTGGAAAAGCGTGGATTTGATATAACTCAACTTAGATAAGAGGACATCGATATTCTGTAGTATAAAGAAAACAACAGTCAAGATGTTGACATGTTTAGGTGAACACTGTGTAAGGTTGTCATAAGATAGAAGCTTAATAAACTTGACTTTAGAAAATAGCTTACCTGATCAGTATTAGGTGTCTCTTCTGGATTGAAGTATTTGGCAACTTCTAGGCAGTAGAGAACTTTTCCTTCTGAACTGAACTTTGTGGCTAGAAGTGGATCTTTAGGATTGAAAGTAGACCTCCAGTTGTTCAGCAATCCTGTTTTATTGATAATGACAAATCCTTCTACATAGTCGAAAGAATCCTTGGATGATATCAACTGTTCTTGATCATTGGAAAATGTTGAGAAATCTGAATACAGCACTCTGATCCACTTGACCTGTTAACAATTGGATTTAGTAGAAATTTCTGGCTTTTTCCCCTGTTTTTTCCTCCTTAAATCTTGTTCAGATTAACGTTAAACTTCTTTGATATTAGGAGTCAGGAAAATTACCTTTTTAGGTGCTGGTTGAAGAGCAATCCTAGCCCTTGTGATGATACCAAACTGGCCTAGTCCTCCTAGTACACCATAGAACAGGTCAGCATTCTGCTCCTTTGAACAAGTAATCACCTCTCCTTTACCTGTGAAAAAAAATATATTATTTTTAATAACCTCCAGCAATATAATACATAACAATCCAACTCACAGAAATGGAGGGATGTGATTTTTCCACTATAGTTTTAGTTAGTATCCAGAATTAGAAAAAGAAGAAGGTGATAACTTTTGTGGTAACAGAATTGGCTTCTGTTGCTGACTTTGTTGAGTCCAAGTCCACAATGTAATCACTTTTTTACTAATTAGTGATATGACTTCTAGGTGCTGATTGGTACTCTATTGTATAAAATAGAAAAAATGGGAAGACTTTGAAAATTGTGACTATTTGAAAAAAGTAGTTTTGTTTTCAAAAGTGAAAAATTGAAGTTGTGTTTGCTTGTTTGGCTATGAATACAAAAAAAGTAAAAATAATTCAGGGCCAAATGCTCCCTCAGAACTCTGGCTGATATTATGGAGCTGGGGCATAATAAACTTGTTGTGCATGAACATACCAGTGACAACTTCAAGTTGGTAGACATTATTGATCTGAGGTCCATGTTTGAATGCTTGCCCACTGATTCCGGCATTCGACAAAGTACCTCCAACTGTAAGGTGAAGATAATCAGTCCAAGATTTTGGTGTTAATTCAAGTTTAAGACTTTCATGCAGGATGTTTATCCAAAGCTCTCCAGCAGAGACATCAACAAAAGGCAGTTCCCCTGCATGGTGGAAACGCATCGCTGGTGCTCGAAGCGATTCCATGCTGATCACTACTCCCTGGTAAGCTTGAGCTTGTCCTTCTAGAGAGTGACCATGTCCTCTAGCAGCAACAGTTAGGTCAGTTGTTGTTCCCATGTCAAAAATATGTTTTAAAGTGGATGATATGTCTGAAACCGATTTCGGATACAGAACAGCTGATGGAAGGAAGTGATATCTGTTGCCGAAATCCTTCGCGACATGATCGAAATTCTTGAAACTAAAGCACCCTTCAATAGTTAACTGTTTCAGTGATGATTGAATCACTGAGAAGCTTGAAGGGGTGACAAAAAGTTGGTCACAACAGAGGTTACTTCTGTTTATTGAGCAAATGCCTAGTATGAATATAAGAAGCCTTAGAAGCATACTATTATGTTTAAAGAAGAAATGAGTTGGTGATGACTTCATTCTTTCTTAAAAGTGGTTGTTGACACACAGTTTCTTGAAAATTTGCCTTTTCTTTGAGTGAAAATAGAGGGTGTAGAATGGCCTCAAGAAAATTAAGGTTGGTCAAGAGAATATATAATGGGGAGTTTTTTTGAAAATGTCACTATCAGTAGCACTAATTAAGTGGTCTATAGGACTGCATGTGAGGACTATATATCTTGAAAGTGGATGTTAATTTATGGAAAATATTGAAAAAAATTTGATTTTAAACTCAACAGTGTTTTTGTTTGAAGTGGAAAATTTCACCTGTCATTTGGTACTTCACTAGTGTGGTTCCAACTACCACCATATATGTTAATTTTTAACATGTCTCATTGCTATTTTGAGCAAAATTTATCTGCTGAATTTGGTATCCTACACCAACTATTTATTCAAAGTGTTCACATTTGGTGAAACAATGTCACCAAATTTTTTATTTAAAGCCATCTATACGAAAGGTGATATGTACTACTATTATATTTTTGCAACCTTTTCAGTGTATCCTAATCTTCTATTTCTGTTATTATTTATTCTTGTCACTTGTCATAATACATAAATAAATACTCGAACTTGGTCTTAGCTGACAAGTAAACATTCCAACTTCGAGTATGCACATCTAAACACGTCAAATTGTCTTTACTCCATCAGTTGAACATTCCTACTTACAAAACGATCATCTAGACACCTCTAAATTAAAATTTGTATGTCACGTTAGTGTTGGGTGTCCACAAGAAATAGTGAGGACGAGTCAGAGTTTTTAGTTGTCAGTTTAGACAAAATTGAAGGTGTGTACTCTTAAAGTTTGAGTACTTACTTGCTAGCTGACGCTAATGTTATGCATTTATTGTAGTTTCTATTCATTTTTTAGAATGCTTTGTTTAGTAAATCTTAATTTCTGTACTCTTGTTATTTTCTTGAGTCGAGGGTGTACGAAACACCCTCTTGTTTTGGTAGGGGTAAGGTTTGTGACTTTATGTACATACTATTTTTTTCACACTCGATTTGCGGAATTATACTGTGTATGTTATTGTATTGAGTGTATCCTAATATGTAAATCATATATTATGGCTGCACAAAAGTTTTTCCTCAATGGCTTTTAAACTTCACTAGGTCCACAAGTGTTATCTTCCACAATGGGGTAAGAGACTTTGAGAGGATATTCACTTCACGTGGGAGTGAATGCATGTGTGTTTTTCTGTCTGTCTACAAAATCACTTTCCTACTTGGATTTGACATCTATAGATATACACCGACAACGTAAAAAATTAGTGCATTTTAATATGTTGTAGCAGGTAACTTATGTTAGATCAAACTTTTTAAAAAACGTTGCTGAGTGCTCGTCTCTGAAGATCTGACACGAGTGCAATAACTTTTTTGAAAAGTCCAAGCAAGGTAACTTGTTGTATGAGCTGCTCGGTGTGGAGAAGTCAATTGCTATCCTCTATAATAACATTTCACAATAACAATCGAGCTTTTTTTGGAATCGATTATGTTATATTATGTGTAATAGATGCAAAATATTCAGACAAACAACATCGTTATAAAGAGATATTGACTATTGAATACTTGTCAACCTCTACAAAGGATCTACTAATAGTGTCAGGTATCTGTTTGATGGATTTTAGTTCTTGATGGAGAGGGCTTAGAGAAGGGGAGGCCCCTACTAAGTTACTTGTAGTTAGGTCTTATAAGTATGGCCTCAGTTGAAAAAAAGGACTTATCAAGCTTAGTGGTGGTCCTAAGCTTTGTCACATTTAGAAAATTTGGTACATTATTATAACATTCTTTTTTTGTGATGAAATTTATAATTGGAGAAAGTTTTATGTCAAAGAAAAGAGATATTTGAAGTGAAACGATAATAATATATCTAGTGTGATTTCACAAGTTTGATCGTACCTTGTTGAAGTAGAGAGAACAAGAAATTGTCCGCGATAGACTCTTGTTTCGAGTAGATATTTTGAAAGTTGTTTAGGGGTTACATTTTAACATAGTATTTAGTGGATTAGGGGAGTGTTTCATAAGGTGAAATTATTTTTCAGATCGTCATGTTCGACTTATTCAAATATTTTTTCTTGAAGAAATGATTAGTTCTGTTAAAATTAGGAAAGCGTCTTTCTTGATGGAAGTAAAGAAAGTAAGTTTTATAAGTGACATACTTCTGATCCTCAGACACCTTTCGAAATCGGTTGAGATTTTCTCCATAATCCAACAGAATGCTCTACATACTTGTTTTAGGACAAATGAGATCTTCGGTCTATGTGCTCCAATGTATATCCCCTTGGACTTTTTATAATATTTATCTAGATGCTATATAAATATTTTTAAGACAATAAATTAAAAAATTACTTATTTTTTAGAAAAACATTTTTCGTAGACTTATAGGTTAAAGGACATAAATGATTTATAATCCAATGTAAAAAGAAGAAAAGGGTCTTTTAAGTTAGGCAACTTTTCAATGGTCTATTTAATTTTTCAATTATCTCTTTGTTCTTTTTCTCACTAATTGATAAAAAGACTTGTGCGAAAATATGGTCATTTTTATATTACTATAAAAAAAAATGAACAATAATTTAGTCAACAAAATTGACTGACAAATGACTAGGATAGTGTTGCCAAAATAATTATTATATAATAATCTTCAAACATAGTAACAATCATCTATTTGCTGTTTTCTTCATGAAGTTACTGTATTTAAAGACCATAAAATAGTTGTTTTGGCAACTACATCCTAATCTCTAACTTTTTCGTATTGGATTCTGATTAATTCGAATAAAGACCGAAAGGAAAATTGCTCCAGAATAGTCTCTAGCATTTGCCATTTATGTTATGCATACATGCCCTTTCTTTAGCTTTCGATTTATTTAGGGTTTATCATCGTTATTTTTCAATTTAAATTGGCTCCTTCTACTAACGATTTCTCAATCGTCAAAAAAAAAAGATATTTTTGATTGGAATAGTAGTGAAAGAAATATAGATATAATATATAGACATTCTCCAATTGTACAAAATGTGTTGCAAAATATTGTAGAGGATATATCTAAGCCAATTGATTGGTGTGTCGTTAGAATTTTTTGGTGTGAATTTAAATTTAATCGAAAATAATAAAAGAAAATAGGGAAAACACTAATCAACTAAACAACACAATATTCTTTTTCTTAAAATATTCTTTATGTTGCTTTCTTGTTTTTTTCTTTTTAATGCCAAACAAAGAACTATTGTTGAAATTATTACCCCATTTTCTTTTGTTTCTTCACCTTCCAAAAATGAATAATTATGTATGTTTAGTGCCTCTTCCATCCATTAATGTATTAAGAAAGTATATCATAGTTTATAACTATTTTAATATTATGCATATTTGTGAAGAATACATCAATTAACACTGTGTTCACTATATTTGTTAATGCTCAATCACTCTAATTTATACAAATAATTATAGTTTTTGTTGTGACTAATGTATCATTTTAGTCACAACTATATACATTAAAAAAAAAGGATAGTCATGTTGACTCAATAAGATTGCCACAAAAAGCTATAGATATATAGTGGCCGGTGACCCTTACAAGTGTCATTGTCCTAAAAAAATAGGGAAAAAAGTTTGACGTAGCCCTCAACTTTGTCACTAAAATTAACACGTTCGTTAGAGAAAAAAAATATATGTTAGATGGACAAATACTTCAAATGACATAGTTAAAGGGTATATGAAACCCCTTTACCAAAAATATATCATTTTAGGGTATATTTGATATGAAGGGAAATGTTTTCCTGGAAAAAAGAGTAGATTTTTGACTTATTTTCTCATATTTGATTGGTGAATAGAAAGAATTTTCAGAAAAGATTTTTAGTGCTGGTTTTTTGAATAAATTTTTTTTTGAGATATATATTTTTACTAGAGCAGAAAATGATTTTGCAATGAAAATGTTTTTTAAAAATCAACTTAAAGAAAATATGTTTCAACAACAAACTTAAAAAAAAAAAAAATTGGGGTGGGGGGCTTGTAGGGTGGTGGGTGGAAGGCGAGGGTAGGCTGAAAAAATAAAATTTTGAACTTGAAACTACTCTTTAAAAATAAACTTAAATTATTTTTTTTGGGGTGGAGTGGGGGTTGGGGGTCGAAGGTAGGGGTGAAAAATGAAATTTTGAAGTTAAAATTAATTTTTAAAAACAAACTTTTTTTTTGGGGGCGGGGGGTTTTCGAGGTAGGGTGGAAAAACAAACTTTGAAGTTGAAAGTATTTTTTTAAAACAAACTTTATAGGGTGGGGATGGAGTCAGAAGAGAGTTTTGGAAAATGTTTTCCTTAAGTTTTGAAGGGAAGTCATTTCCCTTAAATTTGAGAAAAATAAGTTGATTTGGAAAACATTTTCCAAAACATTTAACCTAACCAAACATGATAAAATTGGAAAATATTTTCCTCCATTACCAACACACTCTTAGTGATGACGTTTTGATGTATCGATTATCTACAATTATGCAAAAAGTAAAAATATTTATGGCGATTCAATAAAATTGCCGCAAAAATTATTGTAAGACTCTCGTAGCTAGTCGATGGAAAGAGCAAATAACTACTGGAAATAATACTTGGATTTCATATTAAGTTTGTAAGGTAACATAAATTCATTGCTAATTCATCGTTAACTTGGATTAATGATGAGTTTTGTTGTTTAGCTATACAATTTGTTCATAACAAAATACAATTTTTAATAGTGTAAAAAAAAAGACTGTGACCCTTGAAATTGTCATAGAAAATATCATTTCAGTGACAACTATAAATAAAAAAATTAATAAAAGGTATTCGTGTGTGCATAATAAAAAACAAAATCAAAGTTAGGCAGTGATAGAAAGTACTTTTTATATACTCTTTGTCAAAAAACTATATAACTTTTTCTTGCCAGTCTAATATTAAATATATAGTGTCATGATCAGCCATTGAATTCAAAACCATAAATTCAAAATTCTTGTCATTTAATGTGCCAAATGTTTTGG